CTTGACAGTAGTCAAAGTTCGACTGGAAGAGACTGTTATTACTGAAAAATTGTCATTACTCTCTCCACCACCCTGCCTTACTTATTACATATTCTTAATTCAGAACAACTCAGTATGAGTTAAAATACTTCCTTTCTGACATTCCATTCTTTACAGTTTATGGGATTCAGTTTAAAACAGGGGACGCAGAAAGCCCTACAGCCTAAAGGGTCTTGAGTCATCAGTAATGAGGTTCTGCCTGGGTTACTCCTGGTCACCTCACTGTAGTAAGATATGAGGTAGGTGACAAGTTGGTTCTTATTTTGTGAAATATGGGAGAATTGGAAAAGCTAGCACTGTGAACACAGGACATTTTCAAGCAGATAAATTTTGAAGAACACATGCATGTGAAATTTAAAAATTTTCAAACAATAGCAGTCTCCGTGGACATGTTTTGGATTTGTCTAATTTGAAGACCAGGTTTTAGAAGATGTTTAAGTTAGAGCAAGCCTCTTCCCCCAGCCGCAGTCAGCTATGAAGACTCCATGACCCGCCCTCCGCTTCAGGGTATTTATTCCCTCTTTGTCTCTCTCCCTGTCTCTGGCTTCTTCCTTTCTACATTCTCTTACATTCTCTCTCCTTCCCTCTTTATTTCCCTCTCTCTGTCTTTCTCTTTCTCCCTACTCTCCCCCTCCTCATTGTCTTCCTCCAGTGCCTCCCCACCCTCCTCACCCCCTCTCTCTTTCTCCCTAACCACACACACACAGCATACACACACACACACACACACACACACACCATCGGAGTCAGAAATGGGCCATCTCCATCATTAATCACAAATCACCTTTGCAACTAGCCCTCCTATAAGGCCTTAGGAAGGGCTACTCACGTGACATGCCAATTTTCTATACTGTTCTTTTTCTCTTTGCCTTTGAAACTAGGACGTTACCTCTATGGTCTCTCAACTGCTGCCACCAGAAGTGGCACCAAAAAACAATAGAGAAGACAGAGTACACTCACTTTGAGTTCATTTCTTGAAGTCTAGGATGGATGGGCAGCAAAGGAGCCATGACCTCAGTCACCCTATACCATTTTAGCCAGCCTTTCATGGCTGCTGAATGTCCTACCTACTGCCAAGGCCAGGGTCTGCCCAGTTGTTGATCAACGATAACTGGCAGTCCTAATACCTACCATCTCAGCCCCATCGCCCTCAATAAGTAATCACAAAGAAATATATTCTGGTGTCCATGGATTTCTCAGTGACTGGGTTGTTCAGGCTTGTCCATGATCACATGGATACAAATGTATGTCTTACGGTTATGGAAAAATAGCCAAACAATTTCTCCTCAAACTTTTAAAAGTGACTAGTTTGCGCTAATGAGATGGCTTGTTATAGTGGGTTGAATAGTAACCCTCGAAAATTCAGAATCCCAGGTGTGACCTTATTTAGAAAGAGGTTATAGACATAATTAGTTAAGATAAGGTCACATGGGATTAGGATGAGCCCTAATCCAATGACTACTACCCTTATAAAAACAGAAGAGACACACAGAAATGTCACGTAAAGATGGAGACAGACTGAATGCACAAACTGGGGAACACTAGGAATCACCAGACGCTGGAAAGTAAGGATTACCTCATAGAGCCTTCAACGGGAGATGGTCTTGACAACACCTTGATTTTAGATTTCTAGATTCCAGAACTGTGAGAGAATAAATTTCAGTCATAGTGTTACTGAATTCAAGGGGTTCGTTTGCACATCAGAGCCCAATGAGACACAAACAAGAGTTTGTGGCAAAGAAAGTAGAAGTTTGTTTAAGGAAATGGCACCAAGCCCGGAGACACAGGTGAGCTAGTGCTCAAAGACCTGGCTCCCCGATGGCCTCTAGCGGATAGGTTATGTAGGGGGAAACTCATTAATGGGCTAGGGGAGGAGGCAGTCGATCATTGCATCAGATCATTGCATAGGGTCAGTTCTGTCCAGTTTCGATAGGCTGTGGCCATAAGATCTTTCCGCCTTCATGGGTGTGGAACTAGAACATAAGCGAGGTCAAGATATCATCTTTAATTTGACCAAAACTCTGTTTCTGTGGTCAACAGACCTGAGGCTTTGTTCCTGAGACTGTTTGATACTGACCAGAATCTGATGTCCTCAGGGCTTAGTGAGTAAGGGAGTGGGCGTGAGGTGCGTGCAGAGGTCGAAGGATTAGGGAACAAGAGAAGCCAGTGAGTGAGTCGTGGAGCTATCAGACTAGACGAGGCCGGTTTGAATCAAGGAGAAAGAGAACAGGAAAAGTCATTTTAAAGAAGCGAAGTTTTTGCACATTTACAGGAGTTTTGGGTACCTTACGACAGCGGTCCTAGGAATCTAACACACTGCATAGGAGTGAAGGAGGAGGACGGCCCTCTCTCATTCCTCTGCCTGCATTTCTGTATTACCTTAATTCCTATAGCAACCATCTAGTATTTCAGCAATTAAAAAATACTTTTAAAGATGTAAAGATAAGCATCATAGGAATGATACTGTAAATCAAAATGAATATTGACTGAATAAGTCAACTTAATGCCCTGAATTTCAAGAGCAGCTCTTTTATAGAAAGTACAATTAATTAACATGTTTTCTCAAGTGATTCTTATAGTGTAGAGAAGACAGCCCTGGGACAGTTTCAAAACCAGGCATTTCTTAGGTCGTAACAGATAGTTACTGGTATGTATGGGAGTAGATTTTATTAGGCTTGGGTCACTAGGAGACTCAAGGAAGTGGCAATAACTTCTTCTGCAAGTCCTGGGAAATGCAAATTAAGAGCAGGATTATTTCCAGGAATACAGAGGCTGGTTTCAGAGGTAATGAGACAGGAATGTATGGTGATAGAATGGGCTTGGAAGTTTGGTTCAGGGGATCAGGCTTAGCAAATCACTTTACCCCAAAAGTAAAGGAATCTTGCAAACCTTCCTTGTCAATAAGTCCCTGCTTCAGACACTGTGATAGAGTCTTAGACCACTACTAAGTCATAAAATATAACCAATAAGCTATGGCATGGAGGATGGATCACTGAAGAAGGCTGAACAATATGATGATCAAACGTATTATGTAACCATCTCTAAATTCAAAATGAATCTTCGAGAAGCATTCATGAAATGTTAGGTAACCATCGGTTATTCCTGGTTACTGCTAAACTTGGTACATAGAGAACATTATCTCTCTTTGTGTTCTAAAGACACATTTATTCTGCTGAAAAATTAACAGCCCCACAACAGAACAGGTGTATCCTGGGGCCCACAGGAGGTTGAGAAGAGTCAAGGGTAGAAATAGAGAAGCAAAATAAAATCCTCAGCACATCTATACCCTTTGTAATCAAATTTCTCTGTCCCTTTAGAACTTTGCATCTCCGCTGGTATTCCAGAGGCGGCATCAACAATAATTAATATTGTCTTTATATAAGAAATATATTCAAATAGTTAAGGAAACATCATGGATCCAATAAACAAGAGGGCAAAAAAATAACTTTTTCACAGAGGAGATTCAACTAGAATAGAGATATAAAATAAAACAATAACAGCTTCCAATTTTTGCCAATAAAATAAAACTTTCGAAGTCAGCTGGAATACTGAAAACAGGATAAAGAAGAAAATCATAAAAGGGTAAAGAAGCAACAGAAAACTTAGTGAATATTAAAGAGTAACATGGAAGATGGTAGGTGGGCACGTGGCCGCACTCCTGCATGGCAGGAAACTTAAAATGAGGCATAGAGACAGGGAAAGAACGATGGCTAGAAAAGGCAGCGGGAATGAAAGAATGAGAAGACCATACATCCTGGCTTCATGGTATGAGGAGGACAGAGTGAGCAGCTGCCCCTGAGAAAAGGTCAAGGGACATGCTATTATGGGGTATTCCTACATTTCAGATAAAGCAAGGAGGAAGAGAGACAGTTCTAGAAAAAGGGAGAGCCTACACTGGTGTTTCTTGGCAACAGAACAGGAATACCAAGATGAATCAGGGAGGGAGCTCTAAAGATCGGCGAGGGGTGGGGTTGGATTTGGTTAAAAGTGTGGAATAGGATGACTGCCCTGGGTCGTACTGGAGACGTGGGGATGGGTGAGGGGGAAGAGGTAATATGAATGTGTCTCAGTCTTCCATGGCATGCCCGCCCATGGGACCAGTTCCCTATCGACTTTTTACATCTTGCTGGTGTTGGTTCTCCACTGTGAAAATTAAAGCAAAGCTAATCGACCCTGTTCTAACATTATTCAATGTGCACATATCTATATCTCTCTCTGTATCCGTAGAGAGATCCTAGTGAATACAGTAACTGGCAGACATTCTATTAGGATGCTTGAAGAATCTTCCCCACTAACTGGTTTCCCTATAGACAGGTACAGCCACGTTCTTAGTAAAAAGGAAGAAATAAAATGTCCTCAAAGATTTGTAACTTAACAATGATGTCAAATTTTCACACCCTTCACAGGGAAGAAAGGTATTAGAAACAGCAGGAAGGTTCCTGAAAGTGTAACTTCCTCTTGGGATTTTTGGATTCCTGGATTCCTGGAACCAATGATGTCAGTGTGTGTTTAGAAAGTATCCAAAGACATAAGTTGGCAGGTATTCACATGCAAAAACTTCTGAGAATTGCTGATTCTTCTGTGACACTGTATATTCTAGATGTCATAATCCTGTCTATTACATGCTAGGAGCACTTTTCAGGAACATGGGGCGGAGGGGAGTATGAAATCGTTTCTCATTTGAGCCAATCAAAATGCTCTAGATTCAGGCAGACTTTTGGTCCTTATCAATTAGTGCCTTTTCCTCAAACCTAACCTCTGCACGAGGGTCTCGGTAGCTTAGTCTCAGAAGAATTCAGCCTTAGTCAGAAGTTCCCTTGAAGGCCAATTTATCCTACCTTGTCGTACTATTTCTTCCGTGCCCAGGCTGAGCTTCCTGCTTCTGTCCTCTGGAGGTGAGGTCCCTTCTTCTTTGAGCCCGCCCTGCTTTTCCAGGAATTCCCAATCACACCAAAGTCACCATGAATTCACTCAGTGAAGCAAACACCGCTTTGCATATGATCTGTTCCAACAATTCAAACTATCAAAGAAGGAAAATATCTTCTACTCCCCACATAGTGTCACATGAGCCATAGCCGTGACTTACCTGGGGTCCCAGGAACACGGTGCATCAGAAATTCAGAAGGCAGCTGTCAGCGTCCTTTACATTGACCAGTTTGGATAGGTTTCTGCCGGCTTACCTGCAGATGATCCCAGACCCGGCTGTCCCCATGGGTAGCCCAGGAGACTGAGCAAGCACGCCCTATGTCCAGTCTTCCTTTGGGAGCTAAGAGTAACTCCTACAGTTGCCCAGCTACCAGAGGTGACACATCAATGGAAGAGCTCTGGTAGGAGTGATGTACTGACTTAAATCCATGGGAAACATTCCACGTGTTCACAGTGGTTGGTCATAACCCAGCTTCACTGCGTTTTCTCAAGGAGGAAACGCTCACGCTAAAGTTTTCTTTATTCTTTTTCTTTATGTTGATTTGAGGATTTGGGGGGAGGGAGGGGTTTGTCATTGTTTGTTCTGGGTATGGTTTTTTCTTTTTTTCACTCTTCCTTTTTTTTCTTAATTTCCTGTGATGTAGACAGATCTTTTGAGCGAAGATTTCTTGTTCCACTTCCTGTCTCTTCCAGGTCCTTCACTTTGATGAGGTCACAAAGAACACACAAGGAACAGCTATGACAGTTCATGTGAGTCACGTGGCACTCGGGTCTAGAAGGAGCATCAGGGATCCAGGAGGGTCACGGTTAAAACCAGGAATCTCACATCACCTGTGGAAAGTCAATTTTTAGGGAAAATCTTGGGCAAAATAGATTGGACAAGGAGAGCTGTTTCTCGTCTCGTATTGCCTAGTTATTTATTTCATATTTTTGTCTTCCTGAGAGGGGATCAGAATTGCACTTAAAAGCATGGGCACTAGTACTGAAAAACCAGCTGCAAAATTGCACTCCACTGCTCACCAACGGTGAACATGGGCGTGACACAACGGCTCTGAGCCACAGCGACCTTATTCCAGTAAACTAGGGGTAATGAAAGATTCGCCTCTGTACATGAAAATACGTGCAAAACATTGCAACAGTGTCTGGATTAATGGATTATTGATAAAAAAAAAAAAATGATGTATTATTATTATTATAGGATAATTATAATTATAGTCATCACAATAGCATTACTAAAATTACATAATTTTAATTAACTCATAAGTGGAATTCAGAGGAATAAGCACACATCCAAGTATATTTTGGGAAATGATTGTATGAGATACGTGATATGCAGCTATAATCGTTCAAAACTCTTAGCTCTCAAGTGGTAATTTCTGGATTCGGACATGGCTCATTTCAAAAATTGGCTCTGTGGCATTATGTCTCCTTGGAGAAGTTATTTAATTCTCTGCACTTTCTTGTTTTCATTGGAATTGGACTGAAGGCTCAGAGATACCGATGTAAAGCCTTTAGCCATGTACCAGGCACACACCATTCCTTCTTGGATTGTGACGAGCATGAGTGAAGAGTCATAGATCACAGTCGACAGGTCTTAGGAGATAATACCGCCAAAGAGTATGACAGGGCTTCACATCATGGCACATTAAAACGTACAAGTTTTACATTCTCATACCATCGACGGCTGTTAGAAATGAAAGTGTTCTAGCCCTTAAGCAGCTTGAGTTTAGCTGGGAAGCTAAACGTAACCATTAGAACGAATTAAAAGACAATCCGATAGTGGAATGGCGCTGCATCTGTAGTTCAAAGGAGAAATGATGGGAGTATGCTAGAAGAGGAAGAAAAAATTTCCTGGAAGATTAAATGGGAGGATTATGAAGGATATTTGAAGTAAAATACACCAAATATCAGAAAATAACAATAAAATTCACCCATGAGGCTGCCAAACATTAGGTATGGACCTACGAGACTTAAGTGCAGGGGATTGGTATTTACATTGCCAGGGAATTCAGTGAACTCACGCTCTTTGGTGTTTGAAGGTTGGAAAGTCAGGAAATGTGCATCATCATTTTCAAAAGCTTCTGGCTGAACTGAATAAACCCACCAATGCCTATGAGCTGAATGTCGCCAACAGGAGACATTTCTCTCTATGGAGAAAAGAATTTTCCAGTTCTTTAGGTAAGTTTCACTGGTCTGGATCACCTTTCACCTGCATCCTGGGCCCTCTTGTCCCCAGTGACCAAATCGGGGGGATTGGGGTAGGTGAGCTTGGCTGACCCACATGGGGAGCATTTATTCAGGGTGCATCAGCCCCCCTGCACTGGAGTATCCCAGAGCCTGACAACCCACAGAAAAGTCTGGGTTTAGGGCTGATTTTATTTATTGTATTTGGTCACTATTGAACTGAATTTAATTTTGGCATACACAGTTACTGATAAATTACTCTTAATTCTTCCCTTCTTCCTTCCCATGTCAAAGGAATACATGTATAATGTTAACAAATTTTACCTCGCCAGTGTGGAATCTGCTGATTTTGTAAATGCTGCAGAAGAAAGCCGGAGGATGATTAATTCCTGGGCGGGAAGCCAAACGAATAGTACGGAATGAGAAGGTCGCACGTGAAACACCGCGTTTGAGTTTATGCAGGAACCCTGGGATGACACTGCATGGGGTGCGGGGAGAGGGGGTGAGATGTTTGCATTGAGGCTGGAGGAAGGCACTGGAGATGCTGGAGCGACCCGACTCCATGTGGGGGAAGACAAGGGGGACCCAAGAGGGATCACAGGACCAGCTCCGAGGACACACGGCTGGAGGTCTGTGTCTGCACACGATGTGGGCGACGTCTTTGTGGACCCCTAGTCCTTGCTCAGACCCCATCTTGCGTTCGTATCTTTTACTTTAAATCAGAGACCTAACTTTTGGATTATGATTCCTAAGGGAAACTATTAGAAAGGGCTCCCTTATCCTTCATTAACTGGGAAACAAGCAGCTCTGCAAACTCCTTGTTCTGGCCACTTACACTGCCCCTGCCTGGAACACGTCGCCATGCCCACGGCTTCTTCCTTGACCTCAGCAGACAGCTTGACAAAGTCTCCATCCTACGAACCATATCCTCCCTCCCACCCTCCTTACAGCCCAAACCTACAGCAATTCGAAGTGGAGAATGAAGAGGAAGACACCTCAGGAAATGATGACAGACGGCACAGGGCATGTGCTTCAGAGTACAGAGTTTATGTCATTTGTCCTAAAGAACATTTGGGCCCTGTTTCTTCTGAGTAATGAGCCTAAATTTGAAAAACTAGAAAGAAATGGAGCGAAAGAGGAAGGAAGGGAGGATGGAGGAAAGAAAAAAGGGAGGGGACCAGAAACGGGGGGAAGGAGGAGAAAAGACAAAGAGAAAGGGAGGCAGGGAGGGAGGAAAGAGTAGCGGACAGCGGTTCATTGGTATTCAGTGCGAGATGGCTGACGTCATTCACAGAGAACTCGAACCCCATTTTTAATCTTAAGAAGCGGTGTCTCCATGGGGGTGACCCCATCAGGCTGGTAGTATGAGGAAAGCTGTGGCTTGTGAACTATTGGTCACAGAGTCCCTAAAGTGCTGATTTGTGGGAATAACTAACGATCGGTTTAATTCTCAAAGCATCTTCCAGACAAACAGCTTGTAACTTTCACGACAATCTTTTGGGGCTTTTATATTTGGCAGAAAAAAATCGAGAATCCCGTTCCCAAAGACTCTCTCAGCCCTGCCACCATCCTTGTTCTGGTGAATGCGACCTATTTCTAAGGGCAAGTGAGACAAAAAAAAATTGATCGAAAAGAAACTAAACAGGTACATTTTGGCTGAACAAGGTATTGTCTATAATTTATTTATATAACGCAATGTAGCTATACATGGACCGTTAAATTTAAGCATATATGATTAATGTATAATTGAAGGTACAAAATAGAATTTGTCATGACGATATTTTCTTGTTTCACTTTCCTTTTTTAAAATTTATTTATTTCAATTTCAAGTATACAGTACATTGGTTAGACATCTATAATGTTCATAAAACGGTCCCCCCAATTGCTCCCTCCCTTCCTTGGCCCTCCTGTTTTACTTTTTTGACTTTATTTAGTTGGGAATACTTGAAGAAACTCTTCTCTCTAATTCAGAAATGTCTAGATATCTCTTTTAATGAGGATGTGTTTGGCATCTCAATAATATTATCTTTTTAAAAATTATGCCTCCCTTGGCATTTGTTTGCCACATTAATTTATTGCAAGATACAAACAAAGCTGTGCAAATGATGAAACAAATCAACTACTTGAATTTCACCTCACTGAAGGACGCGCAAGCCAAGATCCTGGGCCTCCCATACAAAGGCAAAGGTCTGAGCATGATGTTGCTGCTGCCCAAGGCCAGGGGTGGTCTGCAGAAGGTGATGCTTCGTCCCTCCAATTCTTCCTTCTATTGTCCAGTTTCCTAGCAGTGCAACGCTTGTACCGACTGTTGGTGGAAATCCCGTTCCCAGCGCGTCGCTGATGTCTGGCAGGGCTCGAGAACGGAGTAAATCCTTTCTCCTCTGCATACAGCCTAAAGGAGAAGTGACGAAGAGAACCGGGCACATTCTATCACTTCCCAAAAATAAATATCGTAGGCATCATAGTGTGACGTGGAAGAATATATAGAAAATTTTAGCATCACTGGTCCCGTTAATGTGCCAGTGAAACCATAAATGTCAGTTCAGAAAAAATATATATGCCTTGGCACACACATGTAATACTTCACCACCAGAAGAACCCCTGATGTATTTCAGTTTATTCCTTTGAAGACAAGGAAACTAAGATTCCGATGTAGGTGACGCATGGGAAATATATGCAAGTTCACTCAGAAACGAAAGCAAGCACATTAACGCAACACCAGGTACTATTTTGTATACTAAATCACAGTGGTTTCGTGGACAATAGACAAACAGATTTATTTTGATGTTCACTTTTCAGTTTAGAAGCAGTCTGTCCCTGGGAGCTCAAAGCCATTTGGAGTCTCATTCCTGTGAGTAAGAAAAAAAGAAAAAGAAAAAAAAAAAACAGAATCGCCCTCTCAGCATTGTTATAATGATTAAAGATAATGTGCGAAAATAGCAAAAATGTCCATCTGCAGTGACTATAATAGCAGATGAAGCTGCTGCAGAGGCAGTGACCTTAGCACAGTCAGGATGCGCACTGTGGTGACACTGGACACCGCAGTCCTCGAGGCAGTAACGTGGTGGTTTGTGTGGACAATTGTCGCAAAGGTCGTCCTCCCACTCAGCTGGCCTCGTTCTCAGTGGCATCAGGAACCCGCGTCCTGAGATTTATCCTCATATCACAAGTCTAAACGAGGCGAAGCTCTTCGATAGAAGGCACTCGGAGTCATGAAAAATTCAAAACAAGGACCGATGGTATAACTTTATATTGCCGATAGTTTAGCTTAGGGACTGGCACACAGGAAATGCTTAAAAATATTAAGTAATGATATATATATTGAATATCACTTTAATGGTAGTATTATGTACTAATTTACACTTGATTAGAGAACTATGCAGCTATATGAGAAAAGATTACAAATAAGTCAAGCAACAGAAAAGAATAAAAATAAATTATATGCTACAATTGCACTAGAAATTATAAAAAATGATGTACAAAAGGCCATTAACGAGAAAAGACTACTTGGAAATGAAACATGCGGTGAACTGATAGTTGAGAAATGGAGATGTATAGTTCATCTTTCACGAAATAATTTTATTTAATGGTTCTGTTGTTTTATATAAATATATAATACAGAAGATTCAGTTTATTGTATCTAACAATATACGTCTATAGATTACTATATATTATTCCTAATATCTGTGGGTTTATATGTATTATATATACTACATATAACTAATCTCCTATATTTACATTTACTGTTAAAATAAAGGCCTTCCACATGATTTAAGGCAATGTTAAATTGCGTTCAACGTCCACCAAGAATCATGTCACTTGTTCCTTTTTTCTATCCTTGTAGCTTGAAGATAAACCCACCCCTGAGAAATTAATAGTGGGCGAGCTCGCAGACTACGAGCAAGAGAGATGTGGGTTTGTACTTGGTTCAAGGAGAAAGAGAGCTATGCCCTCAAGGCCACAATGAAGGCCCTGGGGACGATGGACGCCTGCAGCCCACAGCACGCCGACTTCTCGGGCATGACAGGGAGCCAGAGTCTCATGCTGTCTGAAATTGTACACAAGTCCTTTGTGTAGGTGACAGTAGTGTAGTGTAAACCATTTAACAAACAATTATTTGCATCTACTACGTGCCATGCTAGATTAGGCAGTGGATTCTGAGATACAAGATGGCAAAAAATAAAATAATAAAGTTTAGTTTAATTTAATTTAATTTAAAAACGAAGCATCCTGTGGACCAGAATAGGGGAACCAATTCAGAACACAAGCAGGCCAGAATTTGGTCAAGGCAGAGTTCAAGGTCTGGAACTAGAGTCGCATTGTGGATGCAATATGGAATCTCTGGAATATATGCAATATGCACACAAGTATCTGAGATCAGTCAGAAAATAGCCGGTGGGCAGTCAGAGAATTAGAAATTCCCGAAACTTAGGGATTTCATAAAAGAGGCAAACAAGGAAATTCAGGACGACATTTTGCAAGACACAAAGACCACAAGTCACTAAAGGGTTTGCCCTCCCAAGTGTCCGTGCGTGTTATTTTTCAGCACACGGTGCTGTCCTGGGGCCCAGAAACCCAGCGCCAGGCCCTTGCCTTCTAGAGTCTTAACACCTAAGGCTGTATTGTCTCTGTTCCTGAAAATGATCTGCTCTAATGGGTGGAAACCAGAAACACTCATAATCCAAAATATTGCCTAAGACGATTCACATTTCATTTGAGACCGGTGATGCACTTGTTACCTTCCTAAGAAGGACTTTTTTAACCTATATTTTTTTTCTAACAATAATTTTAAGGAAAGCAAAAGCCTGCATCTTTTGAGTACACTCTAAGATAGACAGTACTCAGACTAAAGTGAGGTTCACCTTTAGATGATTATTGCACATGACAAAGGAAGTGTTGTCTGCATTTTCACCCTCTGCAGTGATGTTTTTTTTTTCCAGGGGTTGCACATCAATGACTCCCAAGGCAATGCAGAGGCAGCTCTTACAGAGGGTCCCTGTGTCTCTCCACTCCCACCGCAGGGGAGGCCCCCGGAGATGAAGCCTGTCTCCCTGGTCTCTTGCTCTTCAGAGCCTGTCCCAGCTTGCACAGATGGTGGTCCTGGGAGGGTCATCCTTTCCATCCCAAGACCTCGTCTTCCAAATACACGTCTGCACAAATACGGCAGTCAGACCAGTGCTCAGAGGCCCTGGGACCCCCAGAGAGGGGCATGAAGAGGAAGCTTATATATATGTCAATCTCTGAACTGGTTATGCTGCCCACGCCTCTTGCAGTGAAAGGTTTTGGGTGTGGCAATGATATAAAATCAATTTGGTGATGCAGAATGCATAACAAATATAGGATCAGAAGTAAATATTTTCAGAACTCAGAGGGTTAGTCGGTGCAAGCTTAATGAGCCAGAACTTCTGAACGCCTTTGATGGACTGAATACACACACTGGTGCGAAGCTTCCTGGAACACTCACTTCCAAATACTGACATGGAAATATAAATCAAATGGAGGAAAATACCTCTCTGACCTGGAATCAACTAACATTTTAGAACTGATAAAATAACAGCTCAGATTGGAACATGGTGGTTAAGGACAGGACGGCCATGATTTGGTTTCCAAGCAAAGTTAGAGGATGTTGCTATTCCTGTTGATGATGATGATGATGACGATGATGGCGGTGGGGGTGCGGGGGGATATGATGATGGTGGCAAAGAAAATGACAGCTAACATCAATTGGACGCATGTCATGTTCTTATCTCTTTAATAAGCACATATTCTACTTATCTTCACCACAGCTCAATAAAGTAGAAACTCTTATAAAACCAATTTTTGAAAAGAAGAAACCGAAGCTCAGAAGGATGAACTTAAGTACCCAAAGTCCAGATTTATATTCAGTTTGTCTGACCCTAAAGTTGACACGTAGGAGGAGGATTTAGAAATGAACATGAACAAAATTTGTTTTTGTTGCTAAACGTGGTTGACCTTAATTCTCTCTGGGTATTTGAATTAATTATTTTTCCATTATAATTAGATAGTGGACCATTTCATAGGGAGTAGTTACCAAGATAATGTTTGAAGTGATATTAGAGACCGTTTATACAATTCTCTTCATTTAAGCAATGAAAAATCAAAATTTCAAAGAAGTTAAATACCACACTTGAGATCAAAGCTAGGTCTAGGCAGAGCTGGGAAAGAAAGTCGAGCTTCCTAACTCCAGGCTTGTCATTCTTCACTTTCCTTCCTTCCCTCCACCAGGTTGATAAACTTAAAGTTTCATGTCATGTTGCCCACTCAGACACTGATCTGTTATCCTCTAAAAGCACTGACTGCACAGGCCTGGGAGTGTCCATTCCCAGATCCACTCACCTTTGGCCATCACCTACGAGCCCGACACTGGCTGCACTGTAGTCCATGCCTAAAAGATGATGTAAATATTAAATATTTCCACTTTCTCTAGGACAGTTACAGTCTTCATTTGTAATTTGTCACTAGATGCTGTTACCTTGCTCTCCCGATAAGTTGGTGGATAGATATTGTGTATAAGATGTGGAGGAAGCTTAAACTAATCCGATTTTTGAGCACCGACATTTTCAGGCCTTGGTCTAGATGCGGAGCATGCAAAGATGACTGCAGTCAGTGGTGGAGACAGAAAACATCCACACAATATAGTTAGAGGTGCAAACGCATTTCACCAAGTGCTCTGGGAGGACCGGATTTGGTGGGATAGTTTGGGAGGGACAGAAGATGCTTCCTGGAAGAGAGTTTCACGTGACTCCAATCCGGAAGTATCTGATTTACATATTTCAAATTCAGAATGTCAATGCATTGACTGATAAAGTGAATCATATCGTGAGTTATGTCTCGTTATCCCTGGGAACTCCTCTCTGTTGAAAAGACTATCCCTATTCCAATGATGCTGGAACAATTCAATGTCTACATGAAAAACAATGAGCCTCATCCCTTACTTCACAAAAATTAATTGAAAAAAATATCATAGATGTAAATGTAAAGGCTGATTACCATAGAAGTTCTAGGAGAAAACATAGGAGAAAGTCTTAGCAAAGTTGAGACATGCAAAGATTTCTTAAATAAGACAGAAAAAAACAGAAATCATGAAAGAAAAAAAATTAATGAATTGGACTCCATTAAAATTTAAAAGTGCTTTTCAATGACACCATCAAGAAAATGTGATCCATGTATCTGACACAGAACTTTTATTCAGAACACATTCAAAACATTTTAAGTCAATAATAAGAAAACAACTAATTTAATAAAAATGAGCAAAAAAAATTAAACGGATTTCACAAAAGAAGATATACATATGGCCAATACACACATGAAAAGAGTCTCAACATCATCGGTCATAAGAGAAAAGTATAAATTAAAACCACAAGGAGACATCACCTTCACACCCACTAGAACGGGTATAATGAAGAAGACTGGCCAATCACTGATGAGGATGAAAAGAATACTCATACAATTGCTCGTAGGAATGGAAAATGGTAAAACCACTTTAGAGAACATTTTGGCAGTTTCTTATAAATTTAAACATATACTATACTCAACAACGACCCAGCAAGTTCATTCCTCAGTATCTACCCCCCAAAAATGAAAACACATGTCCACATAAAGACTTATGCACTCAAATGTGCATAGTAGCATTATGCATAGTAACCTAACATTGGAAGCGACATAAATGCCCATCGATGGGTAAATGGATAAACAAAATGCAGTTTATCCATACAATGAAATACTGTTTATCAATAGGAAATAATGAACTACTGATATCCTAACAACAGTGATGATCTCAGAGCTCAGCAAACGAAGCTAGACGCAAAAGAGAACACACTATACAAGTCCACTTGACTAGAAATGACAAATCTACCCTGTAATGATTGAAGGCAGATCTGCCTGGGCTGGGGTTGTCTGGGGTGACTGACTGGGAAACAGAACAAGGGAACCTTGAGGGTGACGGAAATGTCTGTATCTTAGGTGGGGTGGTGTTTTCTTCGGTGTATACATTTATCAAAACTCATCAAGTTCTAGTGTTAAAATGGATGCATCTTAATGATCAGATTTACTTCAGAATATCGAAATGCTTATGCAACTGACAGTGGATAATATACTCTTATTAGAATAGAGGGTGAAAGTATGAGTATCATCTCTGCCTGGTGTATTGTTTCATTTTGTTCTGGCTTTTGGGTTTTAATTTATGTTTTGCTAATGTGTTTCTGAATTCTCTTTCCTATGTGCAGTTTGCCACACTATCTGCTAAGAAGGAAAAAAGTAACACATGAATTGAGTCGATTATTGTTTTAGTTTAATTGTGTATTATAATCTGCCAAAATATTAGAACTAGAGGGACACCCAAAATCACTAGTCCATAGTTCTTGCTGACAAGACTGTTTCTCTCCATTGGTGCACAAAACCACAAAACAGTGATTTATTTTCAGAAGAAGTAGACGGGAGATTATTAATGAGCCTTGATTTAACTCACTTTATATCTGGCACAGACAAAAGGATATTTCACTTTAAAGGAAAATTATAAACACACACACCCATTACAGTCATTAAATCATCGGTTTTGTTGGTAAGATTGGAAGGCAAGCAAGAAAAACAAACTTTTGCAAAGAATGGGCTATTTGCATTGTCGTATTAACACTCCCATACTGGTTTTCTGCCAAGGCAACGACTGGCCTAAGGAGAAGAAAATCTGCCGAAGAAGAGAACGCTTTTGGACTCATTGTGCCTGATGAAGAACAGGAAAGGGTGATTGCAGTGGAAAGTTTCACAGCCGGGCGCTGACGTGAGGACGAAGCCCACGCCGGTGGCGGCGGCAGCCTCGGTGCCGTCCTCCGTTACCGCCACGAAGGACGCGTGCAGGAACTTCTGGGCTTGCAGCCCTGAGCCTAAGGACAGTCCCGAATAGTCAGCCTCGTGCCCGCTGAAGGCGTCGCCCTTCCCCGTGGCTGCCAGGACGGCCTCCAGGTCGTAGCTGTCTTCCACTTCGAAGCGAGGCAAGTGCAAAGTCACAGTCCTTTCTTCCATGTGCCCTGGGTTGGTCCACTCTACTAACTGCTCAGGACTTATTTTATTTATAATCTATTAAGAAAGAAAG